GGGGGGGTATGAAGTTCATAACAGACACTGCAATGTAAAAACTATAATCACAGTCACATGAACATCCTAGCCTCAGTAAACATTTGAAGACAACTTTGACCAACCACAAAGACTTTTTCACTCACTCACAGTTTGTTAGTTTTCTCTTTTATCAACTTGCTAAAGCTGCTGCCTCGGTAGGAACAGTTTATTTGGGGCCCATAATAAAGAAATACACAGCATCCCCCAGTTTAGTTACCTCGGGTTGGTCCCTTATTTCCCCTTATTCAGCACAGATTTGATGCTGGATGCCCTCGTGTCAGGAACACATCGGGAACAAAAGGATGCTGCGTCATTTGTTAGAAATGAACATTTTCTACCTACCCAGGGCTGAATTTAAGAAAACTCTGAAAATCAAAGGGAAGGAAATGCAGCACGTTAGCTCATTTTGCCAAAAGAACAATTCTGAAACTCAAATAGTGTCAGTAGTTTGTATGGCCCCCATGTGGTTGCATGCATGCCTGACAATGTTGGGACATGCTCCTAATGAGACAACCGATGGAGTGATTCCTCCCAGACCAAAACCAGTGAAAAAACACAGAAGTTGAGGTCAGCAACTGAGGTGCCAAAATTTTAGTTTTTTTTCCTTTTTGTTTGAATTCCCCCAGGTCGATATTCTGCTGCTCATGATTCCAACATGAATGTAAATTCTTTAAGGACTTATTTTGAAAAATTAAACAAAATAAGGCTTTGTGCATTATTGGGTTTAATTTTAAAAACATTTTCCCAGTTTATGGTGAAAGTGACAGGTCTGTACCCCTCTGTCAAACCCTTTCAGGTACTTTTTGCATCAACTGGAAGAAAAAAAAGCCACAATATTCCAGATGTTTTACTAGTATCTTTATTTACATAAATATCAGGATTGCTGGGGGGTTGGACTCCCAGAATAACACAAAAACAAAACATGGTGATGAAGATGTGGAGGATAAACAAGAGGACGTCACTTCTTCTCAGGGGCCTTTTCACCAGCCTCCAGCTTGGGTGCATCCTCTTTGGGATCTCGGTAGGCGGGGAACACCTCCCAGGGCGTGTTTAAATCAAACTTCCTAAACTCCTGCGCCAGCTCCACAGGCTCCGCCACCACACGTTTCAACTCATCGTCATAACGAACCTGCAGAGGGAGGCATGCTTCGGGTCAGATTCCTTCCCGTCTCTCACATTGCTGGAGTTGAATAAAGTGGACTCAAAGTAAACTCACCTCCACATATCCCGACAGAGGGAAGTCCTTCCTGAAGGGGTGACCCTCGAAGCCATAGTCTGTCAGGATCCGCCTCAGGTCGGGATGGTTGGCAAAGAAAACTCCAAACATGTCCCACACCTGTGGTAATACAGCTTTGCTCTCAGTTTGTCTGTAATGTTAGTATAAACCACTGCTGAGTTTCACAAGTGCAGCGGGCAACTCACCTCCCTCTCGTACCAGTTGGCGGCCATGTGGACGGGGACAGCGGAGTCAACCGGTGTTAACTCATCGGTGTAGGTCTTGACGCGGATACGGGAGTTGTAACGCAGTGAGAGCAGGTTGTACACAATCTGTAGACCAGCACACACAGTGAATCAGAGTACTATAGTACACAATCAATGCATAAATTAGACTACCTAATGTCCCACCACAGCCCTTCTCTTGGACTGAGTCTGGACATGATTCTTTTCAGCTCTTCTGTTACAGATCGGTTGGTTTGCTGTGATCCTGTTACATGACCTAATGTCACCAGGCTTTAGCTCTCAGAGAGATGGCCTCATATTTGAACCCCCCTCAGTATGCAGAGCGATGCCCCTAAATGACTCAAGGTCCAAACAGGCCTTGGCCTTCCTGGTGCCGCCCTGTGACCCAGCTCCAGATAAGTGGAAGAAAATGGTTCGCTGGATGAAGGTTAGAGCCTGAGCATTTAATATTAAACTGAAAATTTTTATTATATTATATTATACTATATTATATTATACTATACATATTTATTATATATTATGTGTGGTTTTTGGTGCTTTGGAAAACTGTACAAAATGACCAAAACACAATAATAAATACAATTATTATTGAACGTGGTGGCAGAAGTATTTTTAAAGGTTTATGGTAAAATGTCCTAATGCAGACAGGCTCTATGATGCACAGTCAGAGGGACTACTCCATTTGTTAAAGAAGTACAAACGAATTCAGGAACAAATGTTGATAAATCACAGACACTGCTGTGAAATGTCTTGAAGCACAGATTGGTGCAGACGCTCGGTTGATAAATGAGCCGCAACATTGCAGAAATCTCCAGGCTGTCATCAGGTTTATCATTGAACATGCTAACTGAGCCCTGCACACTTTGAGATGCAGTGTTTGGGTTTATTCCAGATTCCCGGAGCGTTGCCTGTTCTGACCTTGAGGTACATTTGTCTGTCTTGAATGCTTTCCACTTTTTTATAATTCTTCTTTCTTTCTCATTGTAGAATAATAGACTGCATAAATAGAGAGCATAAATAATTGCTTCTTTATCAGTGCTTATCTTTCCTCCTTGGCTGGCCGTGCTGATGATCAATTAACCCTTTAAGACCTACCATAGCACCAAATCCGCCAGAGCTTACTTTATATTTTTACATGCTGTGGAGCCATTTTTGGGAGCATTTCAAGTTGCTGTACATCAATACAACTGTTATAGCCCAGATTGTAATAATATGTATGCATTAAGTCCATAGTAACTACATAATAGTTTATTTAAAAAAAAAATTGCAATAAATTACAAAAAAAAAAAAATAGAAAATCGTTTTTGTTTTTTTTACATATATTTCTACTTTAAGAAGTTTATCCCTCAAAACTTTAAATACAAAAAAGTTGCAAAAAATAGTTTCCAACAACAGAAAATTTATTTTGAGTGTCTTCATAGTTTTATTTTTCAGATACACCAATTTTTATAAACTGCAGAAAAAACGAAAAACAATCCTACAATGCACATTTGCAAAGAAAACAGCAGGTGCATCAAAATAAACTATTTCCAGCAGTGCAATTTGAGTTCTAAGCATCACAGAAACTATTCAGAAAAGCATAAAGTCAAACATGACTTTTAAAAACACCAGTATAGGCTTATAAGGCCTACAAGTAAAAAACTAAATTTTCCGCAAAAATGACATCACTTCCGGTTACGGGCAGGTAATGGCGGACATGCGATAGTTCGCGCTGACGTCTATTTCAATGTAGGAAGTGTTATGAACAGCTGATCGGCAAAGCGTGTTTCTGGGATATTATGTTTTTGTTCCTGCAAGCGCTTTTTATGCAATTTTTGCAAAGCTATATGTGGAAGGAAACCGTGACCGAGGACAAGCTGATGGCATGAGATGCAAGTACAACTCCTCTGGTTTCATATGCAAAAAACATTATTGCGCTAGCTTACGTGGTTCCAGTTCTACGGGGATTTAAAAATAGTTATGCAAAACGGAGCGTGCCCGCGCTGACCGGCTTTAAAGGGTTAATCAAATGCATTGATTACCAGCACCAGGCTCTACTTTCCCTCATAATTCCTATCAAAGCATTAATTGTAGACTTGGTCTTTCACACACCAAATTTTGGATACATTTTTGTTAAACAAATAATGACATAGTGTAACATGTAACATGTTATATGTTGTTGTTCACCTGCACTGAGAGTTCTACTTTCTTGTTACCATGGCTACACAGGCATGCACCTGCAGATAGGATGCTTAAATCCTTGCCTCTCTTAGCAATAACCTCAGGCAGCTCACGGCTCAGTCAGTTACAGTTTATCTCTGTACCTCAAAACGGTTCTGCCGTGTCGGGATGTCGACAGCTGTCAGGTCAGTCATGTTCCTGAACTGAGCATTGGTGTGGTCCCTCAGGAAGGTCAGCACAGGGATGACTCCATCAGGATGGATCATCACCTCCAGCTCATTGTAGCAGGTCACCTACACATATGAACACAGTCTTTTAGGCCCTGCTGCAGGTTTCTGAATCTAAACATGCATTCATCCATTCTCTTCCTTATTCAACTCAGAGTAAATCCAAACATAATAAGTCTAATTACAGTTTCAAAATATTTACTCAGGTCTTGATTAGTAACGGCACCAACACATTGATGGCTTTTCACAATAACTGTGAAAAACCATCAATGTGCTGTCTCGGTCAGCAGCAGGATTTGCAATAGAAGAGTGTACGTGCTCCCACTGTGATGTGAATATGAACTGACCTGGACCTGCTGAATATATTTGGGCATCATCTCTGCCACATACTCCCCAAACGCTGCCAGCTGGTTGTGAGCGACAGCATCCTTGGGCCTGACGGTGGCTGCAAAGAGCAGAGGAGACGACACCGTAAATTCACCACGACAGACGCTTCAGGCTGTGTAACATTTGACCAGAGTCACAGGTGCTGGGGCTGTTTGATATAACGATAGACATCGGATGACGATATAAAAACATCTATCGTTTCATTTATGAAGCGCCTTGAGGCGACTTTTGTTGTGATTTGGCACTATATAAATAAAATTGAATTGAATTGAATTTTACGATATCGTTTGTATCGTTTTGATGGCCACTGTAGTGACTATATTCATTTCTTAAAGTTCTCTCTTTCTCTTATATTTAATATAACCACTCTACGGACAGACAAGCGCCTGTTTTTATGCATTGTTGTTAGCAACAACGACGGTAAAACCATTGCATGTCCGCTTGTTTATTTTCCACATAAACCTTTCACAATAAAGCTCAAGGTCCTATTGAGACTTTTCAAAATAAACTGAATCACGTGAAAGAGGATGCAAAAAAGAGCCGTCAGGTGCTAAAAAATAAACCTTAGACTCAAACGTTTGAACAGGCTGGCTGCCGGCAGAGCTCACGGGCGCGTCACTGCAACTCCCCCTGGCTTCTGCTCCGTGGCTGCTGAGTGAGCCCTCATCTGGGACTCTCCTCAGCTCTTTCTGGGACAGTGGCGCGGCTGCCCCTCTGTTGGTCTTCCTTGGTCTCTTGTGTTCTGAGGGCCTCTGGATGTCTGGAGTCTTGATCTCCTCCATACCTGCTTCATGCCCTGGAGGACGGGGCTGTGGCCCCCCCACACCCTCTAGCAGATCATTACATGAAGGAACCTTTTAAAAACAAGCGCGTTCATGCTCAAAGGTGTACACACGGGTGCTCACACCCACAAACTCCCTTTTTGGCTCCTACCTCAAAGCACACTGTGCGCTGTCGATCTTACGTTCTGTACAATGTTTAATATTTAGTATTTACTGTTATATTCCCATATATCATCGTGATGTTGTTTATTATGTTGCTCTCGTTTTCTTCTGCTTGTTTTCTTTTTTCTTTCTCAACAGGTGATTGATATATGCATTTTTTTTTCTGCTTATTTAGTTGTTTTTTGTTATTTTGCCCTTCATCCCCGTCCCTCTTCTCTGCTGTTTTTTCCCCCTCTTCCTTTCTCCCTTTTCTTTTCCTCATTCAAGTCTGTCCCGTATCTAGCAAGTGAAAATAAACATTAGGACTAATAGCTGTTAAATGTACAGTTACAACTTATGTCTAAAAATGTATAGTTTCATTTTTAGACATAAGACTCCAGGTGCACGACGCGCAGCTGGAAACACTTCACGCAAGTCAAGCTGCCCGAGATTCACAGAATTTACAGAAAATGTTAAATTTTTGTGATTTATATCTTTATCGGGACGATAGATGTCTCATATTGGAATATGAGATTTTGGTCATATCGCACAGCCCTAACAGATGCAAAAATGCTTTTGTTTTTCTAATACAACCGATTGTCTCGCTGATGCTCTGAGGACTCTCCTGAGCATTAAGGAAACACGGATTCAGATTTTTCCCGGTTCCAATCTGATTACAAGACCTGGGTTTAAGGTTCTGCCAACACCAATCGCTAATCCGATACCAGTGTTGAAATAATAAAGTCACTGTGAGGGACAGTGCTAATAACTTCAGGGTCAATGATGGTACGGCTGGGCCATATCATACCGTTCACAGTAATACCGGTGTAATGTTGGGCAACAATAAGAAAATGAAATATCGCGATAGAATATGGGTAAAACGCGCATGCACAGTGCCTATGTTTACATACGCACATGGCGGCGACGGAGAATGAGAAGAGCGAAAGCGGATCGTTGAATGAAACGGATGAACCAGTACTGGTTTGTAAAAATGCTGCAACTTCAGTGTGGAACTGGTTTAGCTTTCGTACGTCAGATACACAACAAAGCACTATTTTTGGTAGCGCATGCTAGCGGGACGTCGTTATTACCGTGTTCTTTGGAAAATATGGCACACTTAAAATCAATCCTTTGATTTTTCTGAAAGTCGACAGTGCCCCTTATAATCCCGTGTGCCTTATGTATGAATTCTGGTTGTGTTTACTGACCTCGAAACGGTTTTATGTACACGGCGCTCGAAAATCTGTCAAATGTTTTAGTACGACTTTGCTAAGCTACAAAGCCGCACCGCTTGATGGATTGTCGGAGCATTACGGCTATCGTAGGCAGGAGCCTCGCGGAGTGATACGTACTGTGCTTCAACATAATATTACCGTATTGTGTGTGTATAACCTCTTTTTAAGTTTTGTGGATATTATACATGGTTATGCTGAGGATATGTCGGCCAATTTCCACTGGAAATGCCTTTTGGTTAAACTGTCAGCAAGGAATTTGCATTTGCACTGTTAAATTTTTTATATAACTTTAATGCACATAAACAGCTGCTTGTTTAAGTGAAAATACATTGATGGATTTTTTGCACTAATAAAGTTGTGGAGTTGTAAAGTATTTTGTCTCCTGTCAATTATATCGTCAGTTATATCGTTATCGCAAATTTTCAAATGTATATTGTGATAAATATTTTTGGTCATATCGCCCTGCTCTAAATGATGGTGCTCCTAACTTTACTAAATAAAATCAAGCAAATAAAAATATTTTGAATACAAAATAAAGATTTCATCAACAAAAACTTTTCAGTGAAAAGCTGTACATCTGAACCATTTCAGAATGTCCCTCTGCTTACTGACTGCAGCACACGAGCTCCAAAGGTTCAGCCAATCCTCAGAAACCCTGTTACCCCAGTTCGACCTGACAATGACCCACAGAGCTTCTTGTGATGTCAGGAGCGTGGGCCTTTCTCAACCTGTAGATGCCGCCCAAGGTTACTGAAAAAATTCATGTCAGTAGGTCAGCACTTGTTCCTGCAAGCTTCCTCTGAGGTCTGGACTCATGGATTCATGCTACTTTTCATTAGTCATCAGGGTGTCGAACTTCAGACGAGGTACTATCCCAACTATCTTTTTTAAAAGCTTTGACAAGTTGGCAGTTAATGTTGTCACTGGGCCTGTATTGTATAAGTAAACTGTGTGATGTGAAGGAACACTGTACACTCTATGCTGCAATGATGTGTCCATAGGCTTTAAATATTCAGGAGCAGCCAAAACTAAGTCTTACTCAATATTGTGATGACTGTGTGACAAATATTTTATGCAAATAGACGATTTTGTCATTTTCATGCTGATGCAGTAGTCATATTCACATGGTAGCTACTGGATATTCATAGTTATAAATAATAATAATAATAATAATAATAAATATATATGTATGTGTGTGTGTGTGTGTGTGTGTGTGTGTGTGTGTGTGTGTGTGTATTCTTATGTTCTGGGACTAAATGCTGTTTCATTCAATTGTTTTCTTCCAATTATCATTTTTAAAAAACAAAACTGAAGCACAATGACTTTATGAACAAATGTAAATAAAAGTCCATGTATAGCCTTAACATAACAAAGAATATAAAATGTCAAAGCCAATCATGCCCCTCATTAGCAAATTGTAAAGATAAAGGAAACATCGTGAGTCATTACTGGGACTCCCCTCCCTAAGGAGGATTCAACACAGATGTTTCAGCCCAAAGATCAGACTTCAAGAAGCGGCACACTAAGCCAGCAGCTGTGCTACATGCATGCGGTGTCGCCTCTTTGTTGCCAACTTTGTGCACCAGAGAGTTTTTTTTCTCATTCATCTGACACCCGCACAAAGTCACGAAAGTTTTTTACTGTTGGGAAAACACTAAATTTTCATTTAATGTATGTAGTGCTTTATCTGATAGGTCGAGCTTTGTGTGTCTGTCAGCAGACAAAATAACATCACAACAGTCACAAACAGCAGCTTTCACTGTGGACCCCACTCCATGTGCTGTTACATATATGTGGACCCTCTGGATATTTTTAAAGCATCTGTGAATGTTTAAAAAAAGTCTGATGTTTTTAGTTGTTGCTGTGTAATGTTAGTACCGGGGACAAAAACAACCCGTCAATGCAACCATGTCCGTAGGTACAAACAATGATTTGCTGCTCCATACTCCCACAGTAACGTCCTGTTAACTAGTTCCAATCCAATCCAATCCAACTTTATTTATATAGCACTTTTAAAAACAACAAAGTTGACCAAAGTGCAGTTGAGTTAAAACAAATCCTAATGCCATTCTAACTCTGGGGTTCTCATATATGTGACAGCTATTAGTCCTAATGTCAAACAGCTCGGTGGTTCAGCGGCACTACCCTGCACGATGAGTTAGTGTGTACTCACGTCTGGTCTCGGTGCTGGAGCCCTGCAGTCTGGTCTGCTGCTGCAGGAGACACGAAGTCCTCGCAACTGAGGAGGGACAGACAGAAAGGATCAATCACAGAGGTACTGACGAGTGAATCCGCACTGCTACACAAGAGCTGGCTAAAGGTAGCATTAGCTAGCTCGAAGGTCAAACACGGAGCATTTGACAGCTGAAGACGACACTGTATTGGTAGCACGCAAACGGACGCAGGCTAAAACGAATCACTGCAATCTACAGCCTGTATATGGATTTCTAGTTAACGTACTGTTAAAACTCCTTCCAAGACCTCCGCGGACAAACCGTACCAACGACGCCGCCATGTTGGCTCTCTCAAGTTTCCTCTTCGGGCCGAGAGCTGACTATCAGCGGCCAGTCGCCCCCTCGTGGACGGGAAGACAAATGTCACTCAATGTGCCCTGGAAAATGCACTGAAACGGAAATATTCAAACATCACATTTTAAGAGTGCCAAATGATTTCATTAAATAATTACTAATTCAATATTTTTAAATAAAATTGTAAATAATTAAATATTTAAAACTGTAATTACTGAATAAATTATTTCAATTTTTAATGAATCCATGCTACATTTAGTTATTTACAGATGTATTTAATTGAGTTTGGCACTCGCGTGTAATTTTTTAGCCCCAAACCATGCAAATGCTTAAAATACCATGATTTATATAACAATGTGTCATGATACGATGCAGCACTGGCAGTCGACAAGTCAGACTACGCCGAGTGGCCTCTCAAGTCTGGATTAAAGGGGAGGGTTGTGTCAGGAAGATCATCCAGCACAAAATGGTCAGTGCTGTTAGCCAACAGCGTGTCAGTGGAAACTAATATTAAATGTTAAAGTTAAATGAACTTCCAATAAACAGCTACCCTACTAGGATGTAAAAGTTGACCGAATGTTTGTCCACGCTACAGTTAGATTTAGGTTTTATTTTGTTTTACTTCAATTTAATTTTTCTATTTGTTTGCATGAAATAGAATCTAACAGTATTATCACTTGAACATTTTTCATGTGTGTTTGCTTGGGGGACTCCATCCTCATATTAAACCTTCTTGATAACTGTCACATTGGAACATCCTAACTTTATTTAAATATGTGCTTGCCAATAAGAACAAACTACTGAAAATAAAGAAGCACCATTACTCTTTTTGTCATAAACATTTATTTATGGTCATTTTTTTACATTATGAGGCACTGCAGAAAAATATAAAGCAAATATTTTCCAGTCTACACAGAAACACCTTCATTACTGAATTATTTACTACAGTGTTCTCATCCTGTTGACTAAACTCCAGCTGACGTCAGCCGGCTCTGAGGGGAGTGTTTTCTTTTTTTAAAAACAAACGTGGAGAGCATTGCAGTGATTTGTCTTAGTTTGATAGTTAAAACAGAGTAACGTGGCTGGAAATCAAATTATAAAAAGAAAAATTTCTTTCAACAAAATTATATTAAAGAGTAACAAAAACAGATAAACAACATGTTCTGTTCTGCAGCTGTACACATGCCAAAGAGCACTTGCTGAAAAGGCAACAGTTACATTTCCTGTTACAGTTGTTTTGATCAAGGCTCTGAGTCGCCGTCCCCCACCTCCAGTGGGAACACGATGAGGTCCGACACACTGCCCCACTTTCTCAGCTGGACTGTGCACATATCTGCTGGTAGTACTTCCTCAGCATCTCCAGCTGAGCGGAGCGTACTAGGATGTGCGGTCGAACAGATGCCAGCTTCTGACAGGCCTCGTCTGGAGTCCAGCAGTGTAACTGTCAGCAGGAAAGCAAACGGTCAACACAGCAAACCTGTCGCTTGATGCCTGAGCGACTCATCAGCCATGAGCATGTTTCATACAGTCACCACTCTGGAATATTGACTTAAACACTCTGTGGTTCAGTGCATGTGGAGGTAAACGGGTCAAAAACGGAGTTAAATGTGGCATGTGTTTTATCTGAAATGACCATGAGATTATATTTACATACAAATACTTTAAAGGTAAGTACGCTGGAATAAGAGGGTAAAAAGTAGAGATGGCACGATACCACTTTTTTATGTCCGATACCGATACCGATATCATAAATTTGGATATCTGCCGATACCGATATGAATCCGATATAGTGTTTTTTAATCAACAAAACTGTTTTTTAAATATCTTGCTGCATTTTGTATAAGTTCATACTCAAGTTTAAAACAACAACTACACTAAAGCTATTCTGTTATACCTGTATGCAAAAAAAAATTTTCATAGTTCAGCAATACTGATCAATCTAATAAACTTAAACCTACACCATCCTCCCTATTCTGGTATTTTAAAGAGTACTTAGCATAAATATTAAGCAACCTAACTAATAGGGTTCCAACTCCCAGCAACAACAAAAATAAATAAATAAAAAATAGGGAACCACCCCTCACGCGCCACCTCATGATGCTTAATCGACGTAATCAACCTTAATTTGATGCAGTGTGAAAAAAAATGCACAGAAATCAATTCTTTTTCAAGAAATATTAAATAGATTCAACATCTTTCTTCAACAAAATTGCAGACTGCACAGATGGTACCTTCCCAAAGGAAAAAGTACTATAGCTTACTAGGGTATATTAGACTTAACAGTTACTATATACAATAATGGACTTCTATACATTTTACATCAGATTAAAACTTTGGGTGTAAGATTCAGATAAATATTAAATAATTAAAAGCTCGACATTTTAAATGAGAATAAGAAAGAAAAGTATGTCTTTGTGCCCCCTTTTCCCTGTTAATGCCCTATCGGCCCCCCTGGCTAAACTTTGCTAGATCCGCCCCTGCACAGTTACCAGCGTCAGCTACATAGAAAAAGATCCTCGAGTAGAAAGTAATATTAAATAAATTCTAACAACAGCTTATCAAGGTTAAACGTGCTGCTGTTGTTCAGCCGCTGGTTTCCTCTTTCTGGTGCAAAGTGGGCCAAAAGCAAACAAGAGACACGGACTCGCGACAGAAAAGCCAATCAGCTGATCGTTAAGCAGTTTCATGATTGAAGTAGCAGCCGGAGAGCGAGAGGCAGTCGCTCGTTAAGCTTAACGCAGGAATGCTTTACAAACATTCAGAGATGGACTTACACACTTGCTTTACTTCTCTCGGGGATAACTTTGTCGGAGATGAAATGCCGGGTTGCTAGCGAAGCTCCAAATGCTATCCAGACCACCGACAGGTCCCGCATGCCACAGCCGCTCTATCACGTGATGCATACTGCTCCAACGTGCTAACGTTCTGAGGTGAGTTACGGCGTGTTGCAAGTTTTGTGAGGTGCTTTCGTGATATTTAATGGATCGGAATACATTTTTTATTTTTCTCCGATATCCGATCCAGTAATTTAGGTCAGTATCGGACCGATACCGATACGTAATATCGGATCGGTCCATCTCTAGTAAAAAGTCAGGGTTTTTTCAGGAAACAAAGAAATATATTACATTGTAATTTAGCAGTATGCTGTACTGTTCAGGGAGAGGGCCATATTATGAAGCGGATTAACCTCGGCCAGTTTCTGGGTATTTTACAGGAAAGGAGACACAGCTTACAGTGTAAGTAATTTTAAATACACTGTAAGTTAAAAAGAACAACTGAATAACAGAAAATCCATCATGTACACAGTGTAACAAAATAAGGATGTAAAAAGGGAAGGTTAAGTCACTCAACATTTACAGCCGTCAACACAAAAACTGCATCAAAAATATTGTTTTTCTGCAAAATTACCAGCTAATTACACACCACTTAAAACAGGCTCTGAAACTGAAACAATGTCATCTCATTGGAAGACCACTTTGTGTTCAAGTATTAATAAAAAACTAAACAAACAAGAAAACACCCACAAATATTTCTGAAAATGTTTTGTTTTGTTTTTTAAATTTCAAATATTGTATAACGAGACAAAACTGCAAACATGAACGCAGATTGTAACAAACTGAATCCTTTCATCGAACCACCAAACAAACACACTGGTCCTCTCTGTGCACACACGTGGCAGCACTGCTGCTGTTATTGTGTTCATGTTTAACAAAATAAACTGCAGACATGAGTGTGACTCTGTCACTGAGCTAACAGCTGATCCCTCAGCATGTTTGTGCTCTCTGCTCATGCTGCCTTCATATTCAGTCATTCTCAGCTTTTTAAAGAACTTCAAAGACAAACTGCATGACATTTCTTCAAGTGGCCCCCAGGCTGCAAATATGAGACCCTGACTTAAAATAAGTTATGCAATACTCAAAATTACCTACAGTATAAATTGTGTCTCCTTTCCTCTAAAATACATGCAGGATAGTCACGTTTAGGCCACTCTGTAATATTGCCTGCTCCACAAAAAGTAACACGTACTTAGGACGTAAATACAGGGAAATATTGTTTGCTTTGCTGCTAAATTACCAGGAAATTACACAGTACTTAAAAGTACTTAAAAGTACTTAAAAATACTTAAAAGTGCTTAAAAGTGCTTATGCGCTGCTCAGATTTTATAGCAGTATAATTATTTGCTTCCTGTAAAAAACGGATTTGTTGCCACCTTATTCTTATTTGTTCAAAATTATCCAACATAACAAATGTAAATTTATTATTCTATTTATTATTTATTTTTTATCCGCTCTTTATGCTTTATCTTGCGTTACCATGAAAAGTGGGATGCTCTTCTCTCCACTCGGTTTTTGTGCTGTCTGCAGTTCAAACAGCAGGTGGCAGTCTGAATGCATCATACTGACCCGTATGAGGTAGGCGGCAGCTAATGTGGCGCTCCGGGAACGTCCAGCCTTGCAGTGCACGTACACACTGGTTCCCTGCTCTTTATGCTGCAGTGCAAACTCCACGCCTCTGTGGAGGTTCTCCATGCTGGGGACACCAGTCAGGTCCACAGTGCTCAGCTTGAGCTGCTCCACACCAGCAGCCTGCCACTCCTGCACCAGCACCGCAACAATAAATGACACAGTGTATGAGGGGCGGCTCTTTGGCACTGTTAGGGTTTGAACTTCTATCACACATCAGTATTTAACTCATCTTGCATATGCATGACAGCACAGGGTCATTTCAAATATGAGCAGGGCGATTAAACTGCACGTTAACTTTTTTTTTTTTTTTT